ATTCTCCATGTTGTAACAACTTTCACATAGTGCTTAGCCTTGAACAATGTCATTTTATACAGCATAGCCTTGACTGCAGTTACTCCATTTTGAGCATAAATGCCAAGAAAAAAATGACTCCACATATTGTTTATATAAGCAAGCAATCACTATTTGCCAGCATACTAGGAGACACAAACTTATTATTTACTAATACCAATAAGTATTGACATGTGAGAACATACCACATCATATCAAAAACACCAGACACATGAGCTTATCAACTACAGTAGATGGAATCCCCTTACTTGGTACAATAAAAGAAGGAACATCATCCCAAGACTGTCAAGTGGCAAGCATGCTGACAGATTACCTAATCACTCATCTTGAACCTGGTCCAAGAAAATCACTGTGAAGGAGCCTGATTCTGTTCTGGGTTCCAACTCAAGCTTAGTGACTCTTTGCCCACTTTAAACTGAACCCCGATTAGCTTGCTATCCAGACCTCCATTTGCTACCTCTGGCCTTGAACAGGTTTGAGACTGCAGTGGTTCCTACAGGCTTTTCCTTGTACCTGTGTTCTCTACCTTGCTCTTTAGGATAGTGTCTCTGAACTCTGACGCCTCTTAAATATTTTCTTTGCAATTCTGTAACCTGCATATTTGTATACTGTTGTGTGAAGTGTTCATTCGTGCTCTGAGAGCTAATATTAATTAAAATGGAATTAAAGTACTGGGGCAAAAGCTCAGTTGGTAAGTTGCTTACCTTGCAAACATGGGGACACGACTTGATCCCTCAAAACCCATAAATCCCCTTAAAAAGCTGGGCATGTTAGCATGAATTTGTGATGTTAATGCTGGAGAGGAAGAGACAGAGATCCCTGTGGCTTGATGGCTGGCCAGCCTAGCTTTGTGAGCTCTAGGTCAATCAGAGACCCTGCTTCAAAAAAATCAAGGCCAAGGCTAGAAAGATATCTCAGTGGTTTTAAGTCTGTAGAACCCACAATGGGTGGCTAACAATCACCTGTAAATCTAGCTGCAAGAAATGCTATACTCACTTCTGGTCCCCATGGTTCTAGGCCCGTGGAATTCATATATACAAAATAAGAAGAATTGAAAAAAGGGTGGATGATATCTGAGGATGTTGAGGCTGTCTTCTAGTCTCTACATGTGTGTGCGTGCACATGTACACACACAAACACACAGGTACATGTATAACAGATATTACTGGAATTAAGGAATCTGTTATTGATAACCACTAGCTAGTAAAGCAAATATTGGGATTACTTGGCAAATTACAGTCAACAAACTGATATGGCTTGCAACTTTATTGCTTATTCAATAAATTTTGACACTGTACGGAGAGATATAGGTATGTCCTTCTATTCCTGACATAAAATACTCATGGCATACAGAATTAAACATAGAGGAGGCAGACATATAACAGGACAGTAAGTAAGTCATGCCCTAGAGTGGGTATAGCTATGAAAGAGAGGAGAATAACATATTTAAGTGTCTTTTAAAGAGACCTTTTAAGACAGGATTTTGTTATATAGCTCAGGCAAGATTCAACTCATGCTATTCATGTCTGGTCCTCCCAGTTTCTTATGGGATTATGGGATCACAGGTATGTTCCATACTCTCAGTCCAGTTAGCAATCACTGTGGAAAATGTGGTATCATTAGTTTTATAATCTCCCTGGATTTGTTTGTACACAAGCACGTACATGTTAGAGCACACACGTACATGTGCAGGCATGTGTGTGAATGTGGATATGAGCCCACCATTGCATATGTGTCAGAGGGCAGTCTCTAGTTGTGGTCCTTGACTTCTACTTTATTTGAGGCAGTGTCTTTTTGTTGTTGTTGTTGTTGTTGTTCACTACTGGAAACACTAAACTAACTGACTCAGGATCTTCCAGAGATTCTGTGTCTGTCTCCTGTCCTTCTTTAGGAGAACTGGTATTACAGATGCATATTACAACCTCTGGATTTATATTGGTTCTGGAAATTAGAACTCATGTCCTCGTGCTCATTCAGCAAGCATTTTACCCAGGGAGTCATTTCAGACTTATTATTTTTTGAAACATATTCTCACATAGCTTATGTTGATCTTGAACTCCTTATCTTCCTGACTTTGCCTCCTCACTGTTGGGATTATATGCATGTAATACCATGTCATGTTTATGTGGTCCTAGGGATAAAATTGAAGGCTTTGTGCACACTAAACAAGTACTCTCAGCCCTGTAAAGTGTTTTGACAATAGCTGTATATAGGATTTTGGGTAGCTTTTCGAGTTACATTGTTCAGGGATTGCAAAAGATTAAGCAAAAAAGTTTCACTATACTTATTCTTATCTAAGAAATTTTCTCCTTATAAATTTTAAAGAACTTTTTATTATTGTGTATTTATGTTATGAGTCTGTGTGTGTGTGGTGTGCACATGTCACAGCATGTGCAAGGACGACATCCAGAAATTTGTTCTATCCTTCAACCATGAGTTCTGAACTCTACCTCAGTTTTATGTAGCAAGTGCTTTTAGGTACAGGTTTATAGGCTGATAAGATAAAAACATATATTTAAAAGGTCATTAAATAATTCTTACTAAACAAAGATCACAAGGAACTCAGGACTCATTTGGGCTTTAACATAGGTCAAGATATTGGTTGTGAGATTTTCCTGAATCTTGACTCACAGTCACCTCACACATTTATCATATGACTTCCAATTGTGAGCCAAATAAGCCCTTCCTTCCTTAAGTTTCTGTTTGGGGATGGGTGTTCTGTCATAGGAATGATAAAGTTGTTATTTGCCCAAGGAAATGGAGGGATCAAATTACTCCAAGAGGGCAAGACAGCTGGTGTGTCACTCTAGCTAAGGTGTTGCTTGAGGGGTTCCCCATTATGGAGATATAGCAGGGGACAGGGACTCTCCTGAGCAATGCTTTTAGGAAGATAGTATCCAGATGCTGCACAGAACAGCAGTCTACCAGCTCTTTTTAGACAGGAAGCTCTTACTCTAGAAGGTGAGAATGGGAAGTGAAAAGATGAGAAATAAATATTGGCCCATTTTTAGAGTACACAGGGCTGTAAAGACCAAATCTTTGTACAACATAGAAACTTGACAGAGAAGTAAACAAAATCAGCCTATAGTATGGCTTCTTAATGCCCTCACTTTCTAGAGTAAGAGCTTTTTGTCTAAAAAGAGCTGGTAGACAGTTGTTCTGTGCTGCATCTGGATACTATCTTCCTAAAAGCATTGCTCAGAATATTCCCTGTCCCCTGCTATAGCTCTATGTCTTCTCATTACAAAAAAATAAAAATTCATTTTTTTCTGGTTGGAATTTCTTTTCTTCTTTTCTTCCTCCCTCCCTCCCTCCCTCCCTCCCGCCCCCCCCCCCTCCCC